ATTTTCGTCCAGCCGTGGACGCGACACTGAAGGCGGTAGCCGTGGAGGTTACGGCGGAGCCGCCGGTGGAGGCGGGGGAGGCTTTGGAAGCAAATCGGGCGGGGGCGGTGGAGGCTTTGGAAGTAGATCGGGCGGAGGCAGCGGCGGCGGTTACGGAGGCAGATCTAGCGGAGGTGGCTTTGGAGGAGGGAGATCTGGCGGAGGGGGAGGAGGCAGCGGTGGCCGCTTTGGTCAGCGAGATGCAGGCGGAGGAAACTACGGTTTCAAACAATAGATGTATCTTTATTAGCACCACCACTTTAGTTTACTCGTGTCTCTCCCCTAACCTCGCTCAAAATAATCAGGACGTCTTAGCGCTTGTGATAACTCGTCGATCGGAGCTGGCTTCGTCATGTAAATGAATAGTAAGATACAGTGTCTAATGGTACAACAACGATAATGATATAATGAATGTGCGAGTACAGATGGATAATGCTAAAGAGTGGGGAGTCCATGTGTCCAACAAAAAAAATACAAATAATCAAATGTCCTTGCGTCATCTCCAAAACGGATTCTTGGATCCAGTCCGCGAATCTGAAGTGGATGCCGGTACCCGCGTCGGCGTGAGATAATATGCGTCGATCGTGCTCGCGGAAAAGCGCGAAGGGACGTCCCGGACGGGCTCCCGAGGCTCGGGAACGCGATGCGGCATGCCCGTGACCTGCGAGTAGAGCGACGGCGCCGACAGCGAGCTCGCGACGGACTCGTGGCGCGCGTGGCCGTGCTGAAGCTGGTGTTGATGATGGTGGTGGTGGTGGACCTCTGCACGCGGGTACTCGTACGACGCGAGCAGCTTGTCCATGTCCCGCGCGTCACGCGCCTCCTCCGCCGCGCGCATCTTCGCCATGTTCACCGCCTCCGTCTCGATCGGATTCGACGGCTGCGCGCGCCGGCTCGCGCGGTGCCCAAAGAGCTTCTCGCCGAAGCGCAGGAGCCGCCAGCGCCAGCCGACGGGGTCGAGGTTCCGGTGCGCCGCGAACTGCGCGGTACGCTGAGCGCGCTGCTTGCGCGCGCGGCGCCGCCACAGCCAGATGATCACCAGGAAGATGAAGGCGCAGCCGAGCGCCATGAGGAGGATCTCCCACCACGCGAGTGCGCGCTTGGGCGCGGGCACGGTGGTGGGCGCGTCGATCCCCGTCACGGTAGGAAGCGGAGCGGCACCGGGGGTTGTCGCAGAGGGCACGTCGACGAATTCCGAGAGGCACGCGCCGAGGCCAGGGACGACGCTCGAGGACTGCTGGCAGGCTGCAGCGACGCATGTCCCCGCGCGGAGGACTTGGTCCGCGCCGGCGCAGGCGAGACATTGGCTGGGGCCCGATCCGGAGCAGCTCGAGCAGCTTGAATCGCAGGCGATACACGTCGACGACGTCGCGTCGAAGAACTGCGTCTTGCTGCATGTTGGGAGACAGCGGCCGTTTGTGAGCACGGGCCGGGAGGGTGGGCAGGACGAGCACTGGTTGAAGGAGGCGCCGGAACAGGAAGCACAGTCTGGGTGGCAGGTGAGGCAGGACCCGGCGGAGGAGAATGTGTTCGCGGGACAGGTGGCTACGCATTTGCCCGAGGCGGCGAGTTGGTTCGAGGCGCAGGTTAGGCAGAAGGTAGCGGCGCCGGTGCATGTAGTGCACGAAGAGTCGCATGCTGCGGAAGCTAGTCAGAACCAGTCGTAGAATATATGCAGAGAACGCACCTGTGCATGTCAAGTTATCCTGCGGCGAAACGAACGTGCCGGAAGGGCAGCTGGCGACGCATTTTCCGTTTGAGAGGAAGAATCCCGGAACGCAGCCCGTGCACTGCAACTGATTAACGGTGGACACGGAGCTAAAGTTGGGGATCTTGCACGACGTGCATTTAGAGCCGCAACCTAAGAAAATGCATCAGTGACGCTATAAGGCCGCAGAATCAGAAACTCACTATCGCATTCAAACTTGTTGTTGTCCGCAATCAACGACGAGCCCTCGCAGACGCCATTGGCGTCGGCGGAGACGCACGCGCCGTTCCGCAAGTACGTGCCCGCGGCGCACTGGACACAGTCGTTGGACGTCCCAGCCGTGCAGGTCTTGCACGACGACGAGCACGGAGCGCAGTTGGTGCCATCGGAGAATGCTCCGGGAGGACACAACGTCCCCGACGAGGTGATGCTCGGCGGCGGGGTGCACTTGGTGCGGTCATTCGCGTCGAGCGTAAAGCCCGTCTTGCACGCGGTGCACACGCCCGTCCCGTCGGTACACGAGGTGCAGCCAATTTGGCAAACTAAAGTCGCCGTCAGCACGCATCAATACAAAAAAAAAACTCAAAACGCACTAGAGCAGTCTCCGGTCGACGTTAGGAAGAACCCCGCGGCACACTGGCTGCACGCCGTACCATTCGCGGCGGTGGTGAATCCCGTCGTACAGGTGCAGTTGCCGTTCGCGCCACAGACTCCGTTCACGCAGTTGCACGACGCCGGTGCATTGGCAGGCGTCGTGACGAGACAGCGCCCGCTGCCGGTGAGCCCGTCGTCGCACTTGGCGCAGCCGGCGGGGCATGCGGCGCACCCAGGACCGAAGAATCCGGCGGCGCAGGTCTCGCACGACACGCCCGTAAAGCCTGCCGCGCAGGTGCACGTCCCAGCGGCGGTGCAGATGCCCGACGACGCACATGGTGGGGAGCACGCGGCAGACTCGATGTCGAAGAGGGTGAAGGTGCTCGGCGCGCTGGTCGGTAGCTGCGCGGTGTCGGGGATAGAGTCCCAGACAATAACACGGGCATTTCCGGGGGCGGGGGAGTTGATGGCGATCCAGACGCTTGGCGAGAGGGCGAGGGACCGGAGGGTCAACGGTGTGGATGAGTTGGCTCCGATGGGATTCGAGGGAATGGATGTGAAGGCGGGTTGACCAGAGTACAGTGGGCCGGAATAGATGGATAGCCCGGGTTCCTGTGCCACATTCAGAGGTAATGCTAGGGAACTGGCCGAGTTTTTGAAGCCCGGCGAAGGCGATAATGTTCCGGAGGAGGAGGTGAGGAGGTTATGGAGAAGTTGTGGATTGGTTGTGGAGGTGTATTGCCCTGGGAGCAGGAGGGCTGGCGGAGACCCAGGGGTCGATATTGTGACGCCAACTAGTCAAATGTTAACGAGAGGGATGAACGAGATGGAGAGGAGACGCACTGGATGTGTTTGAATATCCCTGGAGACATTGGCCTGCATCGCAGACGATGGTAGAAGTGTTAGATGACGCCACTGAGGAAGCATTAGTATAAACGACGCGTAACACGGGTTTGAACACTCACGAGCACTGACGGAGAGGAGAACAGGTAGAACAAGCATGGCTTGCTCGTCGTGAAAGTACGGGAGATGGTGGTACGAGGAAGAGAGAGGGAGGGCGTCGGTCTCAACTGCGCATGGCCTCAATGGTGGGCTCGGGCATTGTGGCACAGGTTGCTAGAAGCTATTGTTCCACCCGCGGCCACGGGCAGTCGGTCCGTTGCCTATTGTCGAGAACAATGGAGTTTGATCTCAAGTCCATTCTGGGTCGCAATCCTCCATCCTAAGTACAATGACGGCCAGTGAGACATCGTCCCATTATCCCACGTAATCCCCAGTGCCCATGACTCGAGCAGCTTGCGAGTTGACAATATTGGCAACAGATTTATGTCCAGGACTCGAAAAGGATGGCGCTTGGAGTATCGGAGGCAGTTTCAGCCAGTTTATAGGTCCCAAGGCACGAATAGCAACAGAACGATACGGAGATCCCCAGTCGTTGGCACCTGGGGGATACGCAGGTCAAGGGGGACATGGACTCCAGAGCTGCGAACAATGGGATCGAGATGTTGTGACATGTTTACGCGCCGGCGTTACGTAAGCGGATCAGACGGGTTTAGCCGAGGTCAACTTAAGTTCAACTTCAACATCGCTAAGGTATTCTGGTGATTTCTTGGCTCTCCTGTGGCTCAAATCCTACCCCGCTTTCCTTCTCTGCGAGGAAACCCAGATCTCCCTCGGTGGCCGAAGGCACATCCATCCGGATTATATTGCCGGCATCGGCGATGGTTACTGATCGAGGCAACCTGCTCGCTCTCGAGGTGCGCCAACAACATCTTAATAGCACAATGCCCTGGTTTTTCCTTCAATCAAATGGGCATCAGGATAGCAAGCAAATAGCGAGCCAGAGCAGACTTCTCCCTCGGCTATAGCGCTACCTGTTGTACTGCGTGTTGCAGTGTAACTCGGCTCCCACTCACTTGGAGCTCGTCACAGAAGTTAGTCTGTCAGAATACTTCAAGACCATCACGGCGACTGTTTCGGCATCCTCAATACTCAGTATACTCAGGGAAGCGTACACGCCTTGCTGCCGAGCATTTAGGCAGGGAAACGACAAAAAACTCGGAGTTCGGAAGCCGGTCGTGCGTCGGAGCCTCAAATTCCTGGTCAGCACATAGTTCACAAAATTCACGGAGGCTATACGAATGTGATCTTGCTACGCTGTGAATATTATGTGGACTTTGAACTTCCAGCTTCGGCTATTTCATTCGACGTTTAAATTCGAGTCTGAGATTGCCTAGATATTATGCAGGTATCCGTTGACGCGTTCCAACGATGAGAAATCCTCATCAAATCAAAGAATAATATGAGTGTTGATGTTGATGAAACTCGGAGGCTTGGTTGGGGTACGGTGAGGTTTGCCTCAGATGCAATCAAGATGTAACTGTTGAATATTCTTACCGATGCAAAGCCTCCAAGCTTTTAGTTCTGAGAGTAGGACCAGGAGTGAGTCTTTCAACGTGGATAAGTGTCTTGAAGTGTTCGATTTTGTAGCCACAGCATTTCGTTTGCAGAGTGGGCTTGAAGTCTCAGATGTGATCGCCTTGATATAATATTCGCGGATAATGCACAACTGCAAGAATGACGACCTATTTCAACTTAAAGTGAAGAGGAAGTAAGGAAGGAACGTTCCAGAACGGAGCAAAACGAGAAAAAAGATAAATTCCGGTACGGGGAATCGAACCCCGAGCTACCGCGCTTTTCGGTTTGGTGTAATGGTTTACGTAAATGCTTACGTAATCCAAATTGAAAAGCGGTAATGTTGACCGTTACACCATACCGGAGTTATAGAGGTCCACAGGAAGGTAGATACCATTCTCAGAGAGGCCCGGAGTCCAGGGGAATACAATTTTCAACTTTTTTGAAAAACACGTTCGAAAGTTGGTTTAGTTGCACCAAAACGGATGGGAAAATTTGCACTGAGTCGAAAGGGGCTCAGGGGGATCATCCGTCATCGAGGGGTATGCATGGGATATGCTTGGTGATGAGGGGGGGGATGTAGGGCGGGACATGAGCCAGATCACGTCGAAATCCAGTGGCCGACGTTTCGGAGCCCAAATAGGGGCGAGAATTCTTCCGGCATGTCCCCATAACCTTGAATAGATTTTCTGTAGGTCCCCCAATATTTCCAGAATTTTCAGAGTGTGGGGGAGTGCAGCGGCCAGATCCAAAGATCCGTGATGGGAAATTGATCGTATTTTGATGGCGGCGGAGAAGTGATAGAATCATCCAGCAGGTCAGGCGAGGCGACTTTGAAGGGGATTAACATGACCGCTAATACCTACCGGACCCTCGTGTTCCTCGAACACCGTTTTCTTGGACAATTCTAAGGTTGGTGAATTTCGCACCGGAAACCCATATTTTGATGGCATCAATAGGGTGTTACACAGTAGGGATTTCAACCCGATTTCGAGCTCGATTTCGACTCGATTTCAGATCTGATTTCGAAGGCGGCGTGACACGGAGAACGCCGAAATCCGCGATTTCGAGCGAGCGATCAAAGTTGAAATCCTGATTTCGATTTCATCCTTGTGTCTGCTTATCATCAGCCAACCGCGCTCATCGCCTCCCGCCCATCGATCACCGCGATGAGCTTGCATATCTCTTGAACCTGGCCCCCTTAGAGGGCGCACACTGTGAGAAGGATTCGTCATGAAATTCAAGACTATTCTCGTGAATTTCAAGTTTCATGGTGTTTTGTTAGGAACCGCGTGTTGAATTTCAGTATGCACTTCATGATGCTTCAAACCACAGTATTTCGAGCATCGTGAATTCATGATGTTTCTTTTTGAATTCACGATCCTCACGAAGAGAGTCCAGATTTATATTCTAAGCACCTTGAACATGTCGCTGCCTATGATTGCGGGGTACCACGGCTTCTTCGGGGTCGTCATGCTCTTCCATTACGTTGGCGCAGCCGACCCGCTCAACGAATATATATTCCCCGCGGTCCGGAACTCGCCCAACCACAAATTCGAGGTCCTCGGCATCAATGATCTGGACCGCGCGGTAGGCACCTTTGGTGTGCGGCATTTCCAAACGATTTTTCTGGGTCAGGACACTTTTGACGACAACTGCCAAAAGGTGGATTTTGGTTGTAATAGTTTGCAAGACTTCGGAAGGTTCAAGTTTGATGACAAGCAAGAGGCGTAGCTGTCCGTAGGTGCCATTGAACTAAAAAGATAATCAGGAGCACCCGATGTGTCTCAGAAAATTGAATAAACCTTTACATGTGTCATATCGCGTGTGCCATGCTTCCCGATCTCGCTTGCATGCATCATATCTCCGCCCTTGAGCCATTGTATCTTTCCCCAGTGCTCGAGTGGAGAAGGAATCAGTGGGAGAATTTTCTGACTCGTTGTATTGTACAATGTCGCAAGATATTTTGTAATTTGGATACGCAGTGTTCCGGGGATCGGCCGAACTTCTCGTGGATGGATAAGTACACATCGCAGGATCTAATTGAAATTTTATCAAACATTTTAAACGGAGTTCGTAGATGAATAACTCACATGCTGTCAACGCCATCCCGGATTTCTCAAGCTTTCTACGACGGCGCAGGTCAAGGGAAGTGGAGAGCGAATATACAGCCTTTAATTGAAAGAGCTGTGTCAGCTCAAGAATTCGGCGATCAATACTCGCCCAGGGATGACGACGACTCTTGATTGCGGGAAGTAGTGATCCGCAAAATCGTTCCATGGGATAGGCCCAATAGCACCAACTGGGCCCGACAATCCGAATGCTTGGTGCGATATGAAGCAGCCCATGTATTGGCAGCGTGCAGACTGGGAGACGATCCAACTTGTACTGATAGTACAGTCTGCAGAACTGGTTCAGAGTTCGGAATTATTTAATGACAAAAACTTACTTTTCGAATTCTTGAACCCATTCAGCCATGCCGGTTTCGATTGTGTCAATATCCGTGGTTGAAATTTCGAACTGAAGGCACAGATAAAGCAGGCGAACCAGCGCAACGAAATGAGTATAGTAGACCGGGTGTTTGAACCGCTGCCGAAGGAGAATGGGACCGAGGGACATGGTCCAGACAGACCACGTGTCAGCAATAAAATAATAGCGCTCCTTCACGATGTCGGGGACCCGCGGTCCGAAGCAGGAAGGGATGGTGTCACCAGGACGCTTTCCCAGCTGCCCCGATGGCCTCAAAAACCGTGGGGCCGAGATGATAGTCCCCGGAGCCTTCGTCCATTCCTTTATGCTCGCCCGCCCAAAGGAGTATCAGGGTTTTGATGACATTCTCCCAGATGAGGTGCATGAAGTCGTAGGGGAATGAATGAGGAATGGAAAGCGAAGAGAGCGTGGACAGAAGCGGAACTACCTTTAATCCCATATTCCTGCGACCGCTGTTTTTCCTCAGGCGTCGTTTGTTGCATTTTCGACCATGCGCACTTGAGCCATGAGAACATCATGCTCGCGCAATGGTAAACTTCAGCGGATCGTACTGTGTACCGGTCGGACGGCGCAAAGGGACATAAAGACGATTATCTTTGAGAGGAGCTCAGAAATAATTAAAAAGCGAAAGGAATTTGAGCCGACGCACTTGGAGCTTTGATCCCGATGATTGCGCACATACGACAAGGGCATTGACTGTTATGACCCTTCATCTTCAGCAGTTTTGCGACGGCAGGAATATCTCCGAAGCCGAGGATGAGATACAGATGGAGGTTGAAGATCTGGTCGGAGACGACGTCATATGCGCGGATTCCTTCTGCAGCCCTCCACATTTCCTGCACGAACGGGTAAATGAACGAATCAGAGTCTTTTGGGTACCCCGGAATCTGGCCGATACAGAATATGTTTTCGAGGTGGAAACGGATTTCGGGCGGGAGATTGTAGAGGAAGACGATTATGGGCCAGGAGCTGTACTTCCGGCGTTTAAATGGCGCAAAACCGTCGAAGGAGATCCCGAGGGCAATGTCGCGCATATCCGAGAAGAATTTGTGGGCCAAGGTTCTGCCGTGCAAGGTCACGAATTTACGCAGCAGGTTTTGGTAGTGTGACCCGTCGAAAATGTCCTTGACCTTGCCCGGCTCCGAGACAAGTTCAGCGCGATATGTTTGTAGCACCTGGGAGTGCTCCTGGTTCGTGTAGAGGGCGACAAGTCGAGGTATGATGGGGATATAGTGGAATTTTCGCCGCGGTTTGTTTTCGCCGTCGAATCTAGCTTCGTGGCAGAAAGGGCAGCGCTGGATTGTGGAGTATCTCCCAGTGAAACACATACAGGAGTTAATACAGCAGTCATACTTGACTGCCTTCACTCCAGACAGAAACGCGATGCGCTTCTGCAAGACATAAATTGATGAAAGGTCGGCGAGTTGGGGGAAAGCCAATGATAGTTTGTCGTATGTCGCGTCCGTAACTTGGGTATCAACCTTGAAATTAAAGGCCCGAATGTCATTTAGATCCTCAGCGGAAAGGTGTTGCGCTGCGGAGACTGCTGAGTTCAATCACTCGGACAAGATAGACACTTGACGCACCAGCCCGGGCTGCCTCAGCCTCGAAAATACCCCCCAGGCGGTCATCCTGGCTTAGGCCCTTGTTGCCATGGCTCTTCGCCCTCTTCCCAGGCATCGCTCTCACCCTCTGGCTCCTCATCTGAATCCCATCCGCCATCCTGTTCATCCTCGCCCGCAAAAAAACCATCATCGGACTCAGACTCGGAGTCAGAGACATCTGCAAGCTCAGGAGGGTCCTCGATATCCATTTCGTTCGGGCTGGGCATTCCCGTGTCGTCCCAAGTATTGTCTATGTCCATCTCCGGCGCTACATCTCCCGGGCTACGATGAGGCTCGGGAGAGGACTCCAGCGGGGCTTGTTGTGAGTACTGGATGTAAAAAGGCACTCCGTGGCCACCTAAGTGGCGCAGCTCCGTGGCCTTTGACTTTACTTCGCCGCATCCACAACTGCAAAGAAATGGAGCGATTTGGCGAGGCATTGAGGATGAAGTCCGAGCGAGGATGCAGAGGGAAAGAGACAGAATTGAGAGCGAAGCGAGGGTTAAGATCAGTTTATTTCGGCGCATCGCACGAGTGCTAGACAACAGCAGCACTTGCAAGACTTAGTCGCGACTTGGCGCGCAGCCGGAAATCGGAACGAGGCCCGAGCACGTGGGCATGAAGTCATACTCCACCCGCTCCACAACTCCACCTATCAACCACCACAGCGACGGCTTCACCAAACACACCTTGCTTCCTACCCACCATCATCTTCTACACTCACGCAACTCCTTCCCATGCCAGTGGTTGACAAGAGAACCCCGCCCAGCCGCAAACGGGCACCGTCGGCTGCCCAGCGCAATACGAACAAAAACAGAGCTGACGCTGCCGCCAAGACCCAGGCCAACAAGGAAAAGGTGAAGCGGGCTGCTGCCAGGAAGGCGAAGCGCAGCGAGAACGATGCACGGGCCGCCGCACTTCAGGACACCACCAACACCGCTGGTCGCATCGGTGACGCGGGGCTCTCGCCCGAGGAAGAGATCGCCCGTTTGACTGGTACGTCATGGTTGCTTCGTTCCTATTCCCTGTCCGGTTGATCTTCCCCAGCCCGCCTCAAGTCCGCCGACGCACAAGTCCAGTCTCTCAGCCGCAAAAACAAGAAACTCAGCAAATCCATCCGCCAAAGTCAAGGGACTTCGAACGCCGACACGGATGTCACCCCAATCCCCAAGCCGAAGGGGAAGTTCAAGCTCCAAGAGGTCATGGGCCTCTTGGACGACCGCGCACTCTTCACAAAACTACAGGTACATCAGTTTTTTTTCCCGCGTGAT